CCATTGGAGCCACAGCGGGACGTCTGAAATCGATTGAATTTATTGATTAATTTCGAAAATTCAATTTCTCCGGGTAAAAACTGTTACTCATTAGAGTCTTCTATAGAAGACCGCCATAGTAATGAACTCTCATTGCTAGGCATGAATGCCTTCAAAAAGATCGTGACGTTTTCACTGACAAATTCCAATTCTCAAAGGATCACACACGCGGTCATAGACGCAGAGTATTATTGCCACCCTGCTTCTCATGCTCCGATTCATCTCACATTTCACAATAGCGATTGTGACAAGCAGCTTCTCCTACGATGGACTTTTATTCTTAGTGTGAATGCAAAGGCAAAAATATCCTCCCGTGAAAAATGAAATGGTATTTTTTCAGAAATTTTCGATTTTTTACAAATAGCCGAATTCCACTACTTTTGGGACATACAGCGTTTCTTGAACAGAATTATTGGCAAAATTCTATGGAGAGGCGCATCAAGAAGTAGATCTAGTTAAATCACCTGGGAAGAGGTGGTGGTGTCGGTCGTTTCACTGGCCTTGCAATGATTTCGTCCAAATTGGCCGGTTGTTCACGAGGACAACCTTCTTCTTCACCCAGTTCAGTCATCTAGAATAAGTCAGACTTGGATAATGATCGCATTTGATTTCTTCAAAGACTCTTCATAGATGAACTGTAACTGAAGGATGTGGGTCAGGAGATGCCACTGCGCGTGAAACCAGGTTACCGCTAGCTGGCGGAGGGTGCACAACAGCTGCGGTAACCCCAGCTCGCGCACGGGGAGACCCTATTACACATAGCCTCGAACCCTCAAATCAGTAGCCGGTCGTGATGTCCTTAATTCGGTTCAACGACTACGATGGCCCCCTCCTGACCCACACTGACCGGTGTACCAAGACTGGCAGCAAATTCCGAACAAAAGCTATCGGGTGACGAACTAGCATATGCTAATCCTCCTATCGCTCACTTTGGCTCCAAAATACCCACCTGTCTTTTGAGAACTCCAAGATCTCGCAGAGCTTCGGGGTCGCATTGTTGTTCAACAGCTCGCTCACCACATGTGAAGGTATCCCGAATCAGATAGAATGATTTGCAAAGAAGTGCTTCGCCATGAATTCCCTGAATATATGTATAGATGCCTAATGGTAATTTGTTTATTGGTATGTTTATTGGTTTATTCACATGTTTATCTAGCGAATTCGTGGAGTCTCTGAAAAATCTTAACGATATTGAAGAAAAATCATAGGATTCACACTACATATTTCAATTTTAAACCTAACAGTTGGAAAAATTGTATAGGATAGATATCTTTTTCAGGAGCCTGCCTATTCGTAATTTCCTAGATGAATTTGAGTAAACAGCAAAAAGTTCCTCGGAAATTGAAAGGAAATCGTGATTCTGTAACGAGATGCAACTTTTTTTTGAAAAAAAAGTGCCCGGAAAGCACAAGTACGGGTTCGATTCCCGTCCGAGACTGAAGTTTTGTCCATAAATCGCCA